GGAATATAATACATTCTATGTAACACTTGTTTTTGTTGCAGTTGATTCGTGCCTGGTTTTAGATTATTCTTTTGTCATATTTAATTTTTGTACTACATTTTACTTTGTTCAACTTATTCATTTACCATTATTGTTTTGGTTTATTTTGTATCTTACATAATTGATATTATTTGTATTGTCATAGTATTACGTATATTTTCTATCTATTTTGTATTATTCATATCAGTTTTTTGTTAATCATCCTTGGCTCCGTTTATCACTTCTGTATCTGTACCTGTTGTGTTTATTTCCTTGTTCTTTTCTGTATGTACGCATATGTATTGTTTACTGTAATGACTGGTTTTTAACGATACTGATATGTTCACGGTTTTCACGGTCCCGTCTGTACCGTGAACTCATCAAAACGCTAACACTCCTTCGCCCCGAACAGCAATAAATTATTTACACGATGGTCAGATTTGGGCCCAAAAGTCCCACTCCGCTACCATGGAGATCGAATCCCCCGAACCCGCGAATCTTGTTCGATATGACGTCATTCGAATAGAACGCGTGTTCGAATTCGGGGTTACTGGCGGTCATTTGTATGTTTCCCCTGTAAACCCGCGTTGTTACGCATTTTATTCACGGAGTATGACTTAAACGGCTTTACGCGCAGCTGAAAACAACATAATTCATATTTAGAGTAATCCATGCTTACGTATTATCACTTTTTTATCAAAATTGTCCGAGGCTATTTTGCATATAAGTCGACATTTTTTAACTGTGGCGATTTTTTAACGAAAATTACAGAAAATAGCTGTTTCTGTCGTTTTTGGCCCAAAAAAACAATGTAACTGTCATTTAAAACAAAATAGCCTCGGACAAAAAAATAAATAGGGGGTTGGCTTTCTACTTGTAAAATATCATGATGAAAGGTGTTGTTACCGCTTGCGCGTAAAGCCATGAAGTAAACAGCTTTTTTTAACCAAAATGTTGATTTTTAACCCAAAAATTCAGAAGTAGTATAAACAAAATAACCTTTATTCAATGTGTTTCAAGTACTACTAGAACTGTGTGAAGTTAAGTTGTGGTGCGACCAAGCTATCAAAAGTTACAGCCATATGTATAAAATACTAATCATAGTTGGCCATAGGCTGCCTTAACCCAACCGAGCGGCCGGACGCCCCGAAGTTGCCGCCCCCCTTGGGGTGAGGGTCATTAACGCTACTGATGAGTTTCAAAATTATTATAATGCTATAACTGACATTAGAAATCATATAATGAGCCACCGAATCGCGTGTCAAGCCGTGTTCAACTGCGTACAAAAATCTTAGCATTACACAACATGGCACGGCTGTGCATGAGCCATGATGAGGTCGCTTTAATATCCCGATAAAATGCGGCCACATCCACGAATTATTATTTGATCAAAACCTGAATTGCTGTTACTGGGTTCTCTTTACCGGGAGATGTTTATTGTTTTGATTGGTAAAACGCAGGGTAAATACGCTAGAAATTTAGCGTGGGTACAAGAAAACCCACGCCGAGGTCCGTACTTCTGGGTAAAGTGCACACCAAAAGCACGTCGAAAACGCCAAAAATCCGCATAGAAATATATATTTTCCCGAAAGATTCTCGGAACTCTGCATTTCTTTTATAGAATATCGATGTGTGGTTGTTGAAAAGAGCATTTTAGCGCTTATATCCAGACAAAGAAAAGTTGTTTACACGCGCCTCAGCTAGCTCAATTCTACCGCCGGCAGCGCCGGCGGCGGACGCAACAACTAATCAGAGAGGGTACCGGTGTGTAATTAGCGCAAAGAAATGCAAAGTAGAGAAGGGGCAATGGGAGGTGAAGCCAGAGCAATTATCACCCACCCATTGCATATTTATGGCCTTTCCACCCGCATCTTTGCTCATTTCAATGCCATTACAATATTATAATGAGTACTTCGCTGGGGCTATGTTGGTCAACTTTTAGACTACTGGAGCAGACGAAACCCCTCCATAACGAAAAATAGCTGGAGGGTTTTAACTAAATGGCTGTTAATGGTTCCTCATACCTATCTGACCTACAAAGTATGAGCCGATTTGGCTGACCCCCACCTCCCACCTCCGACTGGTTTTCTCGTGCAATGACTTAAAATGCAATAAAAAACAATATTAATACTCGCCACTTAATCCAGCTCCAATGACCACCACATCGATGTCAAGAATTCCCTTCTCCATGGCAGCTTCCAGATGCACAGAGCTACTAGTGGTGCTGGCTATGTTGGGGTGTTCGTTTATGGCTAGTAGACAACTCTTGCATGGTTGTAAGACTGCATTCCAGCAAGGTGTTGAACGTCCTTGATTCCAGAGCGATGCATGGCAAAAGATGTCGGTACCGCGTCGGAGTAAGTTGTTACGAAGGCCCACAACGACACTTCCACACACCTCTTCCACAGCCCTTCCACAGCGCGCTGACAAGGCACCTTCCATTGCGCGATTCCGCATACCTTCCACAGCGCGCTGCCAAGGCACCTTCCATGGCGCGATTCTGCGGCCCTTCCACAGCGCGCTGCCAAGGCACCTTCCATAGCGCGATTCTGCGAACCTTCCATAGCGCGCTGCCAAGGCACCTTCCATAGCGCGATTCCGCGGACCTTCCACAGCTCGCTGCC